CTCCTGAGCTGGAAGGGACCCCCAAAGGTCATTGAATGCACCCTGTGCCTGAGAGCATTGACCAAACACTCCTGGAGCTCTGTCAGCCCTGGGGCTGTGACCACTGCCCTGGGGAGCTGTTCCAGTGCCCAAACACCTCTGGGGGAAGAACCTTTCCCAATATCCATCCCAACCCCCTGACACAGTTCTGGCCGTTCCCTGAGTCTGTCTCTGGTCTCAGTGGGTGGTGCTGGGTGCAGGCAGGAACATCTGCAACCCCTCAGGCTGTGGGTCTGTGATCTCCCTGCTGGTGTCTCTGCCCCACTCAGCTCCACTTTTCCTTCCAGACGGACTCCATAACTCACCAGACCTGTGGAGCTCCCCGGGTGCCATGAGCCAGTCAAGTTACGGTGCCATGCTGGGCAGCTCCTCCTCCCCACTCCCACAGTCCAGTGGCTTCAACAGTTTACATCAGCACGAACGCATGGTAAGGGTCTCTGTGGTCCTGGGCGCTCTGTCCCCCCCGTGTCACCTCCTGCTGCAGCTGTCAGCTCAGCAGGCCTGGGGCCTGGCCTGGATGCTGAGGCACAGCAGCCTTTCCAGGGCATCTCTCACCCCTCTCCTTCTCTGCCAGAACTACCAGCTTCATTCAGGAGAGGTGAATGGAGCCCTCCCCTCCGTGTCTGGCTTCTCCTCGGGCTCTGCGCCGTACGGAGTGTCCAGTCACACGCCCCCGATCAGTGGCACGGACAGCCTGATGGGTATGTACAGCCCCAGTGTGAGCCCTCTCTCTGCTCACCTGCCACACCTGCTGCTTGAGACATCCAGCACACCCAGACACCTGCTGTCCCTCACGTGTCCCTGCGAGGAAGAGGCACAGTGAGGTTCTTGCTGGGTGCCTGGGCAGGCTGGAGCAGGGAGTTGGGTGCTGCCATGGGAGTTTGCACCTCCTTGGTGGATCTGGGAGGAGCCCAGGAGCTCTGACGTTATCTCTTGGAGGTGCTGTGGCTTCAATGAGTTGTGGGAAATGTTTGGCCCTGTGGGAAGCTGTTCACCTAAATCCAGAACAGGATTTGTGTTTGTGCTGTGTTGGGATACCATGTTAGCCCC